TGGTAGACATGTCTTTTGGTGCATTAGGTGTTAAGGAGAAATAATTTTAACCCTAACCAGCTCTCATACCATGTTGGGCTGAGTGCCCCTTAGGATCTTTGGTAGGGTTAAACTCTGAGTAAAGTGATGTAGTAGCGGAAGCATTTAAATGAAGTCCTTGAACCACCTTGCACTGGTATGTGAGGGCAAAGTAAGTTATCTAAAACAAGCAAGTACAAAGGTTTATATAAGAGTACAAATAATACGAAGAGATATAATTAAACTGCTTTACTGTTGCGGTTCGATACAGTGCAACTCAGGCAACTGCTCAATGTCGAGTCAGTTGTGTGTCCTTGTTGTCGCGCTGCATTTGTCAAGTCAAAGATCGCTGACCTTTGACTTTCGGGTAACCTCCAGCGGTTACTTCAACCTCCGAGGGTTGACTCGCTGGTACCTCGATATGCTCTGCTTCGCTTGTGCCTTGGTGTTTCGACACGACAGAGGCGCTTAAGATTGTTTGTTCCCAACACGGGGCATGCTTCTGCTAGCATACCTGAAGGCTAGGGTAGGCGGGTAGGAGGGTCAAGGGAAGGCGGGAGGGAAGGTTGCTGGCTGCAACTGGCATAGCAAGAAGCTTTGGTCCTTAGGCTGCTGGCTGGAATGCACCAAAAGGAGAGAACCAGTGAGGAGGGGCTGTAAGGAGTCTCACAAGTTGGGCTTCGCAGATGGAGACGTTTGGCAAGGCAGTCTGCCCGCAATCCTGTTTGGTACACCTTTTGAGAATTCAGGTCTCAGTACTATACCTTTCCTGAATATTCAGATTGTTTCATATAAGGGTACATTCCGCTGTGGATTTATGTCACAATCGATATGTCTCAATCCACTTTCCGTCGAGCCGCGCCCAATTTTCCTGAATCTGCATGTCCCAATCGATCAATGTATTGCGACTCATCCGTGTGATGCGAAAATTATCAGCGACCCCTGCTGATTGGTCACCGTCCATCCTGGCCCACATTCCCGCCAAAAGCACAAACACCCCCGAACCCCGTCAACTGGGGGAAACACAAATCCCCTCGGCGCACTCCCCGAAGATACACAACATAGCCGCGCTGCCAATAATTGCGACATCTGGTACTATAGTGGTATGCACCAGACATAAGGAGCTAGTATAAACCACAAACACACGTACTGGAATTAACGGCTTGCGCGCACTGTCCACCAGACATGGCTGAGCCACGAACCATCCCATTCATCCTACGGCTCCTCGTCGCCTGGATAACCTACTACTACACAATCTTCCACGACAATGTCTCCGAGAGCTTCGTAGGCCTGATAGAGTCTGGCGTCTTCGAGGACGACGAAGAGCAGTCCTCGTCCTGCGGGAGCGATTACGGCGACAACCGCCGTCATAGAGCGCGGATACGAAAGCGGAAACACGCTCTGTGGGTTGAAGACCTGCAACACATGCGCGAGAACGACTTTCAGGATCTCTTCAGGATCAACCGTTCAATTCTGGAGCACATTGTGGCAGGGATGCAACACTACCTTGAGCCGATTGTGCAACGATCCATACTCACCATGTACACTGCAGTGCTGATCCCTATCAAATACCTGGCATCTGGAATATCGTACGTAGACATCTCGTACCTGTTCGGCATCTCCAAAACTCTCTGCCACGAGGTGGTCGACGTGTTCCTCTCGCACTTCCCCTCCGTCTTCAAGGCCGCCTGGGTGCGGTTCCCCACCCGTGAAGAGCTTCCAGAGATGGCGCGGGAGTTTGCAGCCGTCAAGGGTGTACCTGCTGTGGTGGGTGCTGTGGACGGCACTCACATACACATGAAGGGGATGGAGGGGCACAGGACAGAATACTGGACAAGGAAATCCGCATATGCTGTACAACTCCAGGTCACATGTGACGCACGAGGGAGAATATGGGACTACCTTATCGGGTATCCCGGTAGCGCTGACGACATGCGTGTTTTCAAGGAGTCTGCATTACTTGAGCGGTTACAGAACGGGGACATAGCCCCATACCAGATCGTTGGCGATGCGGCCTACCCACTACGGGAGTACTGCCTAACACCCCTGCATGCCCCACGAGGAGAGGACCTCATGGACGACTGGGCACAAACTTTCAACTACTGCCAAAGCGCCACACGCATGGCCGTCGAGAGATGCATTGGCGCGTTCAAGGGGAGATGGCGCATCTTCGGCCAGCGCAACGACTGCAGGCTGTGGCGCTTACTCGCCGGGGCCGCGTGTTGTATCATCCTGCACAACATGTGTGAAGACATGCAGGATGTCAGGCGGCGCAACATGGCATGGGCGAACATACCACGCAACCGAGATCCGTGGTGGACGCGGGGTGCTGTCGCGGCATTCAAATGGGAACCGTGCGATCCCCCTACACAACAAGCACTCAGGGAAAGGCGAAAACGACTAGGGGAGGCGCTGCAGTCATCTTACGCTAATCGTCGGCGCCGCGAACCCATACTTCCACATCCTCATCCGCCGGCATAGCGGTGTCGCCGTCGCCCTCGTCCACACGCGTCCGTGCGGTTTCGGGAGCAGGCGCGGACTCCCCGCGTGGCGGCGGTGGAGAGAATTCATGGGGCGTGCGGTGCACATCCGGGGGAGCCGACTCTGTCATACGCTCACAGGCAAGTCTGAGATCTTGCGCCATCCATTCACGGACGAGGCCTTCGATGCGGTTCATAGCGTCGCCATGGCAGTCCTTGATGGTGGCAGATACGAACATGGCCGCTTGCATGGTGGCCGTCTCATGCACCCGGGCACGCCTCGGTGTGGCAGGAGTCGTTGGCGGAGGAGCTGCGACATAGCAGGGACATTCGCATTAGTGTTAGCTCATAGAATAACCCGTTGTCGGTGTGCGTTGCATGCATGTTTTTTTTTAAATTAAATTGTTCAAGAAACAACGTGGACGAGAACCACAACGCGAGCGATAAATCTTCGGACTCACCAGTGAAACAAGGGGTTGACGTGCCTGGCTGGGACGATTGCGGAACCTCCATGCCTGCCGGGACGTTGACGTTATTCGCGCCACCTCCGTCCACGGCATGAGGTGCGGCTGCGGCGGTGTCCTGGTTGTGCAGGTCAACGTACGGGTACCAAGGTGGTTTCTCCACGGAGCCGTTGCCCGACCCCTCGTCGGCCTTCTTATACTCACGCCATAGCACTATTAGGTTACGCCACTGTTTCTGGAGCGCGTTGACACCCCGGATCCATCCGGGGTTCGACTCCTTGATATGTGCGAGTAGCCGCGCCCAGTACTGGGTACCCTGTTTCCCCTTGAGGGGCTCGAGCTCCTCCTTGAGAAACCACTTTGCCGCAGCGAAGATGGTGCTCTCCTTGTCAGACCATAAACCGCGCTCGACAGGTGCAGTAGCCCGTTTCTTACGCGGCTCCGGGCGCGCTGCAGGTTGCGCCGCCTTGCCTTTGCCCTTATCAGACGCGGCCTTGCGTGCGGTTTTCCGTTTCGGCGGCGGGGCTCGCGGCTGTGCTTCCTCGGTGTCGTCGTCCTCGGTGTCATCGGCGTCCTCCTCGTCGTCGTCGTCGCTTGGCGACATTCCTTGGTCCTCAGGTTCGTCGTCCTCGTCGTCGGAGGCAAAGTCGTCGTCGCCTTCGTCGTCGTCGTCATCTGCTACGTGTTCCTCCACGGCGGGCCGGTGTGTTGCCGCCGTCCTGGTAGGCTGACGACGCATACGCGACGGCCCAGCCGTAGGCGACGGTGCAGTAGACCCCTGGCCGTCAAGAACGGGTGGCGCGGACAAGCCCCTGGGGTGACGGCCGTTGGCGATTTGCTGGTTCATCCAACGGATGTACGGGATTTCGTTTAAGTCCTTGGGGCAGTCATTAAGAGCATGCCCCTTGCGCTTACGAGCCATGCTTGCGGTGGGCTCGCTTTCAGATCTGGATCTAGAGCTAATCGCGATGGTTGAAGATGATAGAGCACAATTTCACACACGGAGCACAACGTTGACTGGTTTGAGAGAAGGAGTTGTTGCGGAGGTGCACGGGGACGGGGGGAGGGCACATTGGCGGGGCTGTGCGCGTCCCTGTCAATAATTCTGCGCGGTTCGTTTCCTCCAATGAGGGTGCTCCGAACGCGTTTGGGGGGAAACTGGGTGTCGCAAAATGTGGTCCAGATACATTATGCATGGGATGACATTTGGGGCCGCGTGCGATTGCTGGGTAGTGTTGCAATTAGCTGGCGACAGTTCCGAGAATTACGCCACCCAATGATAATTACAGTCGGCGACCTTCACGAGCGCTACGGCATTCCGACACCTGGCAGCTTATGCTGGCCGTACGCGTCCCAATCGATTGAGACACATCGATTGGGACATATTCTACAGCGGAATGTACCCTAATTGTTTCTACTATCTATGATTTATCTGTTGAGGATTATGTTTGTAGGGTACAGTAAACTGGTAAAGTTGGAGGCTGGAGGCAGGCTATTGAAAGAAAATGGCTGGCTACATGAAATTCGCAAACAAACCAGCACACATGGGCTACCGAAGTTTGTCCAAAGCCATGTGCCACAGGCAAACACCACAGCCATGTGCCACAGGCAAACACCACAAGTATACTGGACAGCCATTTTTATGCATTATTTGATGCAGAGTGTAACCACCAGCACTACACTCTACACATCGCCTGCGCCATTCGCGGGAGCGGCTGCAGAGGCCTTGAACTGGTTGTCCTCGGACTTGGGCTTGAAGAGGTAATCGCGAATGACAAGAACAATGTAGAACAGACCAAATGCGCTGATGGCAATCCCGATAATGATCAGGTAGGCCTGAAAGGCGGTGAGAGAAATACATGAAATTGGATGAGTTGACATGCAACAATGCTTATGAAATGAGGGGTTGATATAGTGGAGTGTTATGCGCATCCTATTATGAGCGGCGTGAATCAGTGGAGGGAACGTGAATTATCGTGGTTGACCGTGCAGCAAGAGATAACTGAGTGGTATGAGATGGTGGTATGAAGGGTCTAACCTTCTGGTTTCCAGAGAACATTGTAGTGTAACGGTCGAGGCCGAGGAACACGTTCACCCAACCCAGCACCACCGCGACAATCCCCACGAACCAGTGACCAAAACGCCAGAACACACGGTAACCGGAGTTTCGCGAAGGCTTCACGAATCCCCCAACGGGCAGAACCAACACAATGATGAACATCGCCAGCCCCAGCTGCCCGTGAAGGTAATCCAATCCGCGAGTGCCACTGGTAACCAGAGCAATCACTGCACCAGTGAAAATAAAAACAACGGCTACGATCTGCAGGATCATATGCGCCTTGAACCACAGAGCCCTTCGCGCTTCGTCCTGCTCGGAAAGGCTCGCGGTCAGCCCAGCAGCCAAACCGTTCGCGTCACCGCTTGTGCTGTACAATAACGGATCCGAAATCTGGTCAGCTGCGAGGAACATACGCGCTATAATGATGGCAGACGGCATCAGGATAGCGAACGCGAACGTCATGAAGAAACCGTGTGCGATAAAAGACGCGGAATTTCCGTAGGTTGTGGTGGGAACTGGGGTGGTGGTAATTGTAGTTGTGCCATTGTTGTATCCAACCCTCGCAGAACCCCTGTAACCACAACCACCCATGACACAAGAGCAAACAATAACAACATTTTTATTGGAAGCTTGTTGCATAAAGCCGGTTGGTTGAAGATTGCCAGGAATGAGTAACGAGAGACAAACAGGTGGTAGGTGGAGGCATAGCACACCTGTTGGCACCGTGATACTTCAACTCCTTCGAATTTCCGTCGGAGTAAGCAAAGATGACGTTAGCAACGGCATCAAGAAATAGGGGAACGTTGCCTGAAGCCAATTCCCTCTCGAATCTGCATACCGGGAGTAAATCGATGCACAGAAAGGCAGAACAGGTTGAGGCGAAATTCCAGCACGACTACCTGAAACGTAAATCACCACAGGGCCTAGAAATAGGTAATCAAGTAATTACGATGCGGTATTTCAAGCTTCTTATTACTCACGCCGACAACTGTTTTTTACAGACAGCTGAACTTACTCGACAATGGTCTTGCCATCGCGAGTAGTCACGGCAGTCAACGACAGTCCGAGACGCGGGTTCGGCACAATATCCGCCGCGTTCTTCGCGCGAATGTAGTAAGCGCCAATGGGGGCCGGGTTGCCGTTCGCAGTGTCAGTGATGGTGCCAGGTGGCAGATTGCCAATCGCTGCATCGCTGCCGGCCATCTTGCCGTCCTTGGACCAGCCGAGGGCGACCCAGCCGGTGGTCGCGACTTCGGCGGCGTAAGAGATGGAGTTAATTCCAACGGTCCAGTGCAGGACATAACTGATGTGATTGTCGGGGAAGTAAGGGAAAAAGGGGCATACAGTGGGGCACTTCGAAATATGAAGCGCATGTGGTGGTGGCGCAGGTGGTGACTACAGTGTAACGGACGGATAAGTGTGCCCCTGGTAAGTGTCGAATGTACGCGGGATTGAAGGAGCGTGGATTAATAGAATTAATTTCACGGCGCGCAGACTCTATAGAGGCATTCGATACCTTTCCTGTCCTCTCGCCTCTTCAAATCAATCTCGTTACAGGAGCCCCTGCTAATTGTTCCAGCGATAGCTTACTCTTTGCCCTTGAGTTCGGCGGAGCAGCTGTAGCCAGTCAGCGAAGACTTCGTGCATTGCGACGAACCCAGCTGCGACCGAGGTTCGCCTTCACCAAACTCGTCGTTCACGACGGGTTCGCCGATCGCCCACGCGTCATCCATCTCGTGCATCGGCTCCCCATCGCCGAACGAGTCGCCGGCGACGCCTTCGTCAAATCCCCACATTTCGTCAGTCTGGTGAACTGGTTCACCTTCGCCAAAGGAGTTACCAGAGCTTTCGCCAAAGTCCCAAGACTCGTCGGTTTCGTGCACAGGCTCGCCTTCGCCAAATGCGTCGGACGACGACTCGCCGAACTCCCAGGACTCGTCGGTTTCGTGAACGGGTTCACCTTCGCCGAACTCGTCCGCTGCTTGAAGTTTCGTCACTTCCCAGTCCCATGATTCGTCAATCTCGTGAATAGGCTCGCCTTCGCCAAACTCGTCAGTTGGATTCGAAATTACGGGCTCCCAGTCCCATGACTGATCAAATGGACTTTCTTGCCTGTTCCTGCCTGGAGCCTTCTGGGCGTGAGCGAGGGCAAGTAGCCCGAGGAAGGCGAAAAATGCGATAGAACGGGGCGCCATACTAGCGACCTCCGAGGTATAAGACGAAACCTCACCCTCTCTGTGTGCTACTTTAACGACCAATTTAGCACGACTGATCGAGCTCTGGCGTCAACTTATGCTGTGAAAATCACCCCATAATGCCAGTCGTCTCAACTTTATACGTGTACCAGCTCACAGGAGTGGCTCGCATGTTCGTTGTTCCCAGTCTCCCTGGTTGAGCCTGCTCAAATTGCTCTGTGGAGGTGCTTTGTGGTGGCGATTTTGAGGGGAGATGCCAGGCGAGGCGAGGATAGTGTTGTGTCGAGGGGCTGGAAATTGGGACACAATGCAGATGCGCACAATTTCTTTTCCAAATCCATGATGACGAGGCGCGCACATTGCCACCACTCATTCGAAATGCGTCTCGGCTTGGCCTCCACAAATCATCCAACATGGCACGTGGCAAAGGGTCACCCTGCTTTGGTACAGTATCTCGGCCAGGTTTCCCATCAGGGGGCAGTTCCGAAGCGGGGCAGTCCCACTTCACAGCCATTCTCAGCAATCCAGCTTACTTTTTTACCATCGTCCGGTCAAAATTGCACGACGGGCAGTTATAGGGGCAGTAAGAACTTGGACTTCCGATAAATCTTCTGTCTGAACCAGACCTACAATGCGGGGAGGAAAAGAGGGCGCTTCTTAGGGCCAGATTCAACGAGCCGCGATAGCACAGGCTGGGAATGAGGGAGGGTGCAATATGCACGAACTTCTATGCAGGATCCTCGATATAGATGTCGTGAATGTAGCAGGGAAATCTTGGGCGTCACTTTGGTTCCAATCAATCTACCACATTTATATTGCTTATATAGTTGGATCCAGGCCCTTAGATATCAGTGTAAAACACGCTGATTACGCTGATTTTGTAGCTCTGATTTTCGTTTTCCCTAAAGAATCAGTATTTGTGATTTTGCCACACTGACCATTTTACGTGTTTCTGAACAAGTCACACTGACAAATTAGTATACTTCAGTATGTCAAATGTCAAATGTTGTAGCCAATAGTGAGGTTTGTCTTAGGGGGTACAAAATTTAGGGTTTGTCATATGTACCCCAACTCACATCAATGAGATCACCACTTCTTTTCTTGACATGGTATCACCTAGGTTCGGATCCTGTGGGATCCCGCTCCTCCCGACCTCGTTCGTTTCGCCCGAGCCAGTCTCACCTTGTCGTACTAGTTGCGCACGTCTTGCCCGAGCCTAGCACCGGCCCGCTCTAGTCGCGTTCGTTCGTTACCACTAGTTCCGCCGATCCACTGCTCTCGCAGCGTAGCGACCTTCCCCCCCCCCCCCTCCCCCTTGCTGCCCGTCGCGTTTCCCCCCCCCTACTGCCCGTCGAGTCGCGATTTTCCCCCTGTTGCCTGTCGGGTCGCGTTTTTCCCCGCGCTGCCCGTCGAGTCGTGTTCCCCCCCCCCCCCCCCCCCCCCCCCCCCCGCTGCCCGTCGAATCGCGCCTTCCCCGGCCCCCGTCGCGTCGCGCTCTCCCCGCCCGTCGTCCCGTCGTGCCCTCCCCCGCTACTCGTCGCGACGCGCCCCCCCCCCCCCCCCTCTGCCCTAAACGCCCGTCGCGTCGCGCCTGCCCGCCGTCGCATCCCTACCCCCGCCCTACGCGCCCGCCGCGTCGTCCCTACGCCCGCGCGCCCGCGCCTCCCCGCGCCCTACGCCCTGCGCCCGTCGCTCGTCGCCTCCCTACGCCCTGCGCCCGCGCCTCCCCGCGCCCTGCACCCTGCGCCCGTTACCTCCCCGCGCCCTGCGCCCGCGCCTCCCTGCGCCCTGCGCCTGAGTGCTCGCTGCGCCCGTTTCTACGCACGCCCGCCCTTTACCCGCTGTGCTGTCTTGTCTCTTTCGGCATGCGTGCCTGCTTGCTCGCGCTGCCACGTCTGCTCGTTTTCTCCGCCGCTACGCCTGCTTGTTAGGCCTACTGCAAGCCCTCCCTCCGCTCTACTAAGCGTCCTGTCGCTCGTACTTCCACTATGGCGACTCCTAGAGCTCTTCGTTTTGACGCTGACGGTCGACCCCTCGAGTTCTCGGTCTCGCTCCTGCGCGCGCGTCGCCTTTTAGAGAGTCAGGTCCAGGCGGGTGAGTCCCTCTGGGCGCACGCTACTGGTGACCTTCCTGCGCCCGACGACTCTACGCCTTTAGGCTCTGCTGTCAGAACATATAGCTTGTGCTTATTGTGCAGGCTATAGTGGGGTAGCCCATAAGGGGTACAACCCAATTAGGGTTAGTACTTGTACTCAGTTCATTCATAGTTCATTCATTCTCGTTGATTTTCACATCTGCCACTGACGACGCTGAAGGCGTTGGAGCTGAGACTGCTGCTGGAGGTCCTGCTGCGGGTACTACTGGTGCTGCTGGAGGTGCGGGAGCTGGAGGTGCTCCTGGCGGTGGTGCTGCCGCTGGGGGTGCTGGTGCTGTCCCTGCTGTGTCTAGAGTCGCCGCGCGGCCTGGGCCGTACTTCGTTCCGCTCCTTCAGCAGGTTCTTGGTCTCCGGTCTTCTACTGGTCCTTCTCCTCCTCACTTAGAGTGTCCACAGCCTGTCCCGTCGCAGTTACAGTTACAGCCCGCCTCCCCACTGCCTGCTCCGTCTCCCTACACTGGTCCTACTGGAGGTCTTGCTGAGCGTCGTGAGCCTGCGTCTCGCCCTGCGTCGCCTGTTCATGCTGCTCGCACTAGTGGTCGCAGTTCGCGTCAGCGTCCTCCTCCTGTCCCTGGCACACACCGGATGTCTCTGCGTCCGTCCACTGCTCCTCTGCGTGCCCCTTTGCCTTCTCCTCCTGAGTCTTCTCTTCCTGCTCTTGTCGACCCGGAGTCGGACTCTCTTCGTGCTGCCAGTCCTACAGTCACGCGTCTCCTGGCTACTGTTCTCACTGACCCTTCTTTCGAGTCCACTGCTGCGTCTGCCCTAGTTGCTGAGCTCGTCGACTTTGCTGCTCGCTGTCGCCTAGACTACGCTGCTAGTCTTGTCGCTGAGTCTGAGTCTGTCTGTCCTCCGTCCGTCGGGGGTGAGTGTGCCCTTGGCACGGACGTCCTTGAGGACAGGCAGGAGGAGTTCCAGTGCTTGGCAGCTGCTTCACCTCATCTCGTGTCCGTACTGCTTACCCCTGAGGGAGACCCGGATGCACTTGATATCCCGACTCCGCGCTCTTACGCGGAGGCGATAGAGGGTCCCTACTCCTCTCAGTGGCAGGCAGCTATGGACGCAGAGATGGCTTTCTGGAAGTCCACAGGCACCTACGTTGACGTTGTCCCCCCTCCTGGGGCGAACATCGTCAGTGGCATGTGGATCTTCAGGGTGAAGCGGCCGCCGGGTTCTCCACCTGTCTTCAAGGCGCGTTACGTGGCTCGTGGCTTCAGTCAGCGGCAGGGAGTTGACTACTTTCAGACCTTCTCTCCCATCTCGAAGATGACCACTCTTCGGGTACTGCTGCACGTTGCTGCTCACCGTGACTACGAGCTGCACTCTCTTGACTTCAGCACAACTTTCTTGCAGGGCAGCCTGCATGAGGAGATCTGGCTGCGCCGCCCACCTGGCTTCACTGGGTCTTTCCCTCCTGGTACCTAGTGGAGTCTCCGGCGCCCAGTCTACGGTCTCCGCCAGGCGCCACGTGAGTGGTACGACACACTGAGGACTACGCTTGCGGCTCTTGGGTTTGCTCCTTCTACTGCCGACCTGTCGCTGTTTCTGCGCACCGACACCTCTCTGCCGCCGTTCTACATCCTCGTGTACGTCGACGACTTGGTCTTTGCCACAGCTTACACTGCTGGACTCGCCTACGTGAAGTCCGAGCTGCAGAAGAGACACACGTGCAAAGACCTGGGTGAACTGCGCAGCTACCTTGGCTTGCAGATCACCCGGGACAGAGCACGCCGCACCATTACCCTGACTCAGTCACACATGGTGCAGCAGGTCCTTCAGCGCTTCGGCTTCACGTACTCCTCGCCTCAGGCCACTCCTCTGCCTACTCGCCACTCGCTCTCAGCTCTGCCTTCGGATGAGTCCGTAGAGTCGAGTGGCCCGTTTGCAGAGCTGGTTGGCTGCCTCATGTACCTAATGACTTGCACACGACCTTACCTTGCATACCCTCTTAGC